AACAATTATTATTATAACCAATGATTGTTTTACTGTACTTGCTTGTTTATCTGTACTGAAGATATACTTTCTTCCGTCGATTGTGACCTTGCACGAATTCGGTTGCGCTCAGTAACCACACTTGTAACCTGACGCGATCTCGGTATTCTTTCGATACCACGAGATCGTCAACAAATACATCTCGACTACAGCCATCAACTGCCTTCTGATATTCGGCTTACGGGGGATCTTATCGGTTAACTGGCACGTAGTCTTCCTGTAGTGGTGATCATAGTCAACCACGACTCGACGTTACACCACACATAGTTGATAGTAACGGTTTTAAACCAAATATGAAGCGACTAGCTTCACTGACAGATGCACCATCTCCAAAATACCTTGCAGAATTACGTTCGCTATTGGGTGCACTTCAATGTTGTTCCTGTTCTATTCTCCATTTTTCTTCTCATGTTAATCATTTTGACCTTGATATTCAAATCATTAAGATGGAGTGGGGAACAAGAGTTATGCTTACGAAATCTACCAAAGTTCCTTCAAAGTAAATCTGTTCTTGGGACTCAATCTCTTAGTGTACATTCTGCACTTATCACTGACGCATCACTTGGGAATATTGGTGTAGTTTGGAGCGGCAAGGTAGACTAGTAATCTGTGTTTCACGCAAACATACTGTTACTTATCAAAGTTATTCACATGCTCAGTGAGAAGGATATTTATGTTTTCGGCTTCTAAACGACTTTATAAGTATTTCTTTGAAAAGCGATTCAATATTGTTACTGATTATGAAGCAGTAATGTTCATTTGTCATCCTGAAAAATCCTTAGAGCATTCTCCAGTTGCTATGGTTCAACGATTGAGTATTGTTTCGAGTGCGCATGGCTATACAATTCGGCATAGAAGTACTAAATAAATTGAACATTTTGGCTACATATCTCGAGAATCATTACAAAATAAACCTGTCAATACTGCAGTATGTTGATCAGTGGAACCTTACCAGTGATTTTTGCAGATGTAATCAAAGAGACTTGTCAATACTTTGGATTTAAGCTCAATGCTGCACGAAAGAACAAGATACCAATCCCAAATGTAGATTTCCAGTCTATAAATAAATATACCATTCCTTTCATTGCCACTCCAAAATTTGATTAACCGGAGGGGATAACAGACACATTTCTACTGCAATAAAGAGATGTTAAACATTCTGTGACGAAAGGCACTCCATTAAAATTATTAAACGGCAGGATTCCCCGTTCGTGTATGAGGCGTGTTAGTGAGATAAAGGTTTCGTTTACTACGTGCATAGCATTCGACTTAATTTGCGTTAGTGAACAACGGAATAATATAAGTCAAGTTTGAGAATGAATTTTAGATACATATATTTCACGCACTCCTTGCCACAGATAGACAATAAAAAAAAACAAAGCGGAGAGATTGACCGGATAATGAAAACATGTTGACTCGCTGTACCATTCGTTACAAGTGTTAATCTAGCTTAAAGTAGATAATGCGTAGTGCGGCAAATATATAATAATGAGTGACAGACAAACACACATAAGGCTTATCAGTGCAGAAATACAAGGACATAGAAATAAGACGTGTATTTGTCCTGAAAGTCATGATTTCTTTCGAAGAAAATAGGGTTGTTATTGATCGTGAAAAAGACTCAATGTTACATGCTATTTACGTTACTAAAATCTGTTCAGTTGCTAGGATGAATCATGAGTGTATTAGTAACAAAAACGAGACTACTCACTTACTTACTTACTTACGCTTGTGACTCCCAATGGAGCACATGCTGCCGACCAGCATTCTCCAACCCACTCTGTTATGGGCCTTCCTTTCTAATTCCATCCAATCCTTGTTCGTTTTTCTCATGTCTATTTTCATTTCCTGGCGTAATGTGTTCTTTGGCCTTCAGGATTTTATGTGATGGCTTGTCTTGTGGTGCAGTTCGGTGCTTTCCTCAGTGTGTGTCTTATCCACTTCCAGCGGTTCTTCCTGATTTTGTCCTCCACTGGGATCTGGTTTGTTCTTTCCCACGGTAGGTTGCTGCTGGTAGTGTTTGGCCAACGGATCCGAAGTATTCTGCGCAGACAACTGTTAATAAACACTTGTATATTCTGGATGATGACTTTCGTAGTTCTCCAAGTTTCCGTCCTATACAATAGAACTGTCTTGACATTTTCATTGAAAATTCTGACTTTGCTGTTGGTTGACATTTGTATTGAGTTCCAGATGTTCTTCACTTGTAGATTTACTGCTATTTCTTTTCGATCCGCGCTTTCACATCTGCATCAGATCCACCATGTTGATCAATGATGCTGCTCGGATATGTGAAGGATTTACATCTTCCAAATCTTCTCCATCAAGTGTGATTCGATTGGTGCATCCTGTGTATGTTGAGACCTACTGCTGCTGAGGCTGCTGCTACACTGGTTGTCTTCTCCTGCATTTGTTGTTGCGTTTGCGGTAGAAGGGCCAGATCATCTGCGAAGTCCAGATCGTTCAGCTGCATTCTAGCTGTCCAATGTAGCCCATGATTGCCCTCAGATAATGACGTCATCATCATCTAGTCGATCACCAGGAGAACGAGAGAGGGCGAGAGCAAGCAACCTTACCTAACACCGGTCTTTACTATGAACGAGTTTGTCATCCGTCCTCCATGTATGATTTTGCAGTTTAATCCACCATAGGAATTCCGTATGATATTGATTATCTTCTGAGGCACGCCGTAGCGTCGAAGAAGTTTCCATAGTGTTGTTCAGTCCACGCTATCAAATGCCTTTTCGTAGTCAATGAAGTTGATGTAGAGTGATGAATTCCACTCAACTGATTGTCCCACAATGATCCGTAGAGTTGCGGTTTGGACTGTACATGATCTATCCTTACGGAATCCTGCCTGTTGGCGACAAATTTGCGCGTCTACGCAGTCCTTCATCCTGTTTAACAATACCCTGTTGAAGACCTTTCCCGGTACTGAGAGAAGAGTGATGCTCCTGTAGTTATCACACTTGCTGAGATCGCCTTTCTTCGGTATTTTGACCAGAAGTCCTTCTTTCCAGTCTTTTGGTACTTGTTCCTCATCCCAAATCTTATTGAAGAGAATGTGGAGCATCCTTGCAGTTGCCGCTACGTCTGCTTTTAGTGCCTCTGCTGGGATGTTGTCCGGCCCTGCTGCTTTTCCACTCTTGATTTGTCTAATGGCCATGCTTATCTCTTCAATTGTTGGTGGCCGAACATTGATTGGGAGGTCCGTGGGTGCTGCTTCGATGTTAGGTGGGTTCAGTGGAGCTGGTCGATTCAAGAGTTCTTTGAAGCGTTTCAACCACCTGTTTTATTGCTCTTCAATGTTGGTGATTACCTCGCCTTCCTTGCTTTTCACTGGTCGTTCTGGTTTGCGGCGATTTCCAGAGAGTTTCTTTGTTATATCATACAGTTGTCTCATGTTTCCTTCTCTTGCAGCCTTTTCCGCCGTCGTTGCTAGATCTTCCACATATTTACGTTTGTCGGTTCGGATGCTCCGCTTCACTTGTCTGTTTACTTCTGTGTATTCAGCTTGTGCCTTGGCTTTTTCTGCTCTTGTTCGACTGGTATTGATTGCTGCCTTCTTGTTCCTCCTTTCTTGAATCTTATCCAGTGTATCAACAGTGATCCATTCCTTGTGATGGTGCTCCTCGTGGCCCAGGACCTCATGACATGTTGAAGTGATTGCCTCTTTGATCCCCTTCCAGTTGCTCTCCATAGTAGTCCCTTCTCCATTGAGTATATCATGAAAGGCCTGGAACGTATTGCTGAGGACTATCTTGAATTTGTTGAGTTTGTCAGTATCCTGAAGAAAGGCCGTATTGAACATTTGTGACATTGTCCGCCTCATTGTCCAGTGCTTCTTGAGTTTCAGCTTCATCTTGGCGACCGGCAAGTGATGGTCTGAGGCTATATCAGCTCCTCTCTTGGTTCTCACATCCTCCATCATCCTCCTGAACTTTTGTTGATGCAGATATGGTCGATTTGGTTCTGTGTACTGTGATCTGGTGAGGTCCGTATGGCTTTGTGCATGAGAATATAGTGCCGTCTATGACCAGTTTATTGAAGGCACATAGGTTTGCAAATCTCTCACCATTTTTGTTCCTTTCTCCCAGTCCATGTTGTCCCATGATGTCTTCATATCCGGTGTTGTCCATTCCAAACTTGGCATTTACGTCTCTCATCACAATTGTCTAGTACTTTGTTGGGAACTTCACGACGATCGACTGCAGGATACTGTAGAATTGATTTTTAGCATGTTCATTGTATTCTTTGATAGGTGCATAGCATTGGATGACTATCATTGGAAAGTCTTCCTTCTTTGTTTTGAAGGAGGTTTTGAATACTGCATACAAGCGGCTAGCCCCTGCTTAAAAAAGACAGTGAGCTTTTGGAAAAGGTCCAGAGAACAGCAAATAAGCTGATTCCCGGAGTAGCGAAGCTTCCGTATGATGTTCGACTGGTCAAGCTAAACCTATTCCCGTTGTCATATCGTAGAACTGGAGGCGACTTGATCACAGTTTCCAAGGTGCTTAGTGATAAATTTGCACCTGATATGCCCTCATTTTTCTTGTCTTCCAAAGCAGAGGATTTACGGGGACACTCCGAGAAGGTTCACAAGCCCAGGATAAATTACTTGTCAGCTCACCATCGACTCCCAGCGAATCATCAAGGAGTGGAACTTATTACCTCAGCACGTGGTTGAGGCTCCATCCGTCGACTCTTTCAAAAAGAACTTGAATCAACTGAGAAACCACCGCTGCTAGGACTAACACGGACCATCAAGCCTCTTGTCTTTTCCAAACTGGAACTGAAACTGACCCATGGCCCATGAGATTTCCGTCCTACAAGTGCACTTTGTGCTTGTTTGGATAGCATCAATGCAAATTCTTGTGTATGTATGTGTACGTATGAGACTACTTACCTACTATATAATTGACCCTCAATAATCTTACCCACCAAACGGTATATTATCTATTTAGACATTGAATATTAAACCGACGCTACTTCAAATGGTGGGGTACATAAGCTGGTGGTGTTATAACTGAGTGTATAACTTAAACTCCATCGGTCATCAGTCTGAACTCTAAATGTAAGCTATCTCAATTGATTTTATTGAGATTTGGCTCATGCCAGATTTCCTTAAGTACATATTCCTATATCGCTATATCTACGGTCGTATGACCATACCACTCTATATATATGAAATGATGAACATATGTTCATCAGTTAATTTGTTTTACAAGCCAAAATTGGGAAATGACTTTAAGTTTTAACCAAAAAGTATTTGGAGCACAAAGTTATTTACGTCTCCCAGCTCGTATTTTGCGAAGTTGTCCCCTGATTGTTTCAAAAGTAGGTAGGACGATTGTTTCAGCCCTGTGGGCACCAAAGTAGACTATTCATATTTTTGCTCCTCGCTCACTTCTATTATTAACAAAGTTTTCCTTTAATCGCTTAGTTTCCGGGGCGAGACTAATTTATGGACGAACCAATCAGATATATGATAACGATTCACGAATTTGGCGCGGAATTCGCTCATACATTTGGCTAAATAGAGTTTGGGCATTATAGCTGATGTTAGTTCATGATGAAAACCCTAAATCTAGTTTTAAACCCTAGCCATCAACTATAAATGAGAATTCTAACTGCTTTATAACCCTCATTTAGTCCTAATTCGAAGTTGTTCCCTCAAGCCACTTCAGCGTCGCTAAAAGGTCGTCCATAAATTATAGTCTCACCATTTCTGGGAAAACCACAAGATCTCATATCTCTTAGCTACCAAGAATACATTTCGACTGCCCAGTTTAACAGTGGGCTTGATCTCACACCCCCTCATGAGAACTTGTTGATTTATAATTCTGTAAAACATAAGAGCCTAGTTGTAGAAAACTACTGAACTATGTAATACTTGGCCTATTTTGTGGCTACGTGTTCAAGGCCATGTTTTGTGCATACGGCCCTACCATTGACCCCGTTCCTGTCGTATGCTTCATAAATATCGTCTGCAGTATTCATCTTTCGATAAACAGCCGTTCTTATGGACAGGAGAAAGATCAATTGAAAACCACTCGATAGCTCAAAAATAATTGGAAGTAAGTTCTGTGGATAGTGGTTTATCCGTAAATAACAGTCATACTTGGCTTGTTAGCTGTCCTGATTCTCCTTAACACAGCGAATAAATATACAGAAAACACATTAAATTGTATATGACATAATCTTTAACAACTCGATTATGTAGTCTGTGTAAACAGAATAGTAAATATATAGGTAAGGTCTGTAAAACCGAATCTTGCAGCCAAGCGACCTTGAGAACTAGCCATGTTAAGCCTATCAAGTCAATCAGCTACAACGTAGAACCAGGTGCATTTGTGCACTAGTTCAAGTTGCCATACCTCATTAGCACAAAAAGATGGATACCAAATTCATAGTAGTTAATTCAATAGTAGTAATATATAAAAGAAAGATTGCATATTAGGAGATAGTACAAGATGAAAGAGTTAGTTCGTAGAAAGAAAGATATAAAGTGATTTTAATCTCATAGTTCAAAGAAAGATAAAGAGTATATGCACCTACGCCATTGTGATCGATTACGAGACATGTCACCCAGAGTCTCCAACCATTGGTTACGATAGTCAGGCGGACCTCAACCAAGTAGTCTGCATCTACCAACATGGCTCAAACTAAAAGTTAGTGTCTTTGTGGACTGATGCCACGTTTTGGTTTGGTCGCCCCTAACTTTCTTCCAGCCGTCTCTAACACTTGTCAGCATTGCACGTCGTGGTAATCAGTGTTCAGACATACGTAACACGTGACTTGACCATCCCAACTGGTGAAGATTCACAATCTCATCAACTGATTTACCATCATTTCCTAATAGCCTACGTATAACCTCACTATTACTTACCCGTTGATCCCAGTAGATGCGAGCAATATTTCTAAGGCATCTGTAGTCAAATACTAGTAGCTTACGAATATCTTCAACTCTTAATGGCCACGTTTCGCAGCCGTAAAGTAAAACAGAACGAACTGCTGCGCAGTATACCCGTCCTTTAATTGATAGATGGATATCGCGCCTTCGCCATAGGTGATGTAAGTTGGTAAAACCCAGACGAGCTTTCTGAATCCGCGCATAGATTTCATCAGACGCTAACCCATTAGGGCTGACCAGACTTCTAAGTTAAGCAAAGTTGTCAATGCGTTCGACTACTTCACTCCCTATCCTTAGTTCAGGTGTTGACGGAGGTCAGTCCTGAAGCGACAACTTGCATTTAGAGGGGGAGGACCGCATTCCAAACATCCTGGTATCGTTGCTCAGTGCTACCAAGAGACTCTGCATTTTATCAGCGTCTTCACCAAACAGGACTATGTCATCTGCGTATTCTAAGTCGATAAGTGGACCTCCTGGAAGGAGATCAATACCCGAGAATCCAGTCAACGAGAATGTTATTTCGATCAATAGGTCTATGATGAAGTTGAACAAAATGGAGATAGTGGACAGCCCCGTCGGACACCACTTGAGGTTGCAAAATCAAAAGACAGCTCACCATAAGCTCGAACTAGACTAGTAGTGTTCGAGTAGAGAGCCTTTACAAGGTTTGTGTTCTTCTGAGGTACACCTTTCAATGACAGACACTGTCGCAAAACCTCTCGATCAGCAGAGTCAAATGCTACTTTTAAGTGTTAAAAAAACATCATTGTCGGACGCCGACAAGCATGCCTGTGTTCTAGAACCTGACGAATGGTGAATATGTGGTCGACGCAGCCACGACCAGGTCTGAGGCCAGCCTGATTTTCTCGTGTTTGCAGTTCACGAGTATTTGTTAGGCATCCGATAATTATTGAGGCTAGTATTTTAGACGCTATATTAGTTAAACTAATCCTTTTATGGTTATCACAGGACAATTTTGTTGCTTCCTAATATATTGGGACGGTCAGTAATTGCCACCAGCCAAATGGGATTATATCCAGTCCCCAGATTTTAGCTAAAATATTAGTCGACCTAATAGCTAAAACTGGACCACCATCCTTAGAAACCTCTACAGTTAATCCATTTGAACCAGCTTCTCTTCATCGTTTCAGATTAGCTATGTCTTTTTAAACTTCATTTAGTATTGAGTTCCGGAGTCAGACAAGGCGTTTTACTCTCTCCCTTCCTCTTTCTTCTGGTGGTCGACTGGATTATAAAGACCTCGACATCTGAGGGAAGACATGGCATACAATGGATAGCTCAAAACCAACTAGACGCTTTGGAATTAGCAGGTGACCTAGCCCTCCTATCGCATACACGTGAAGAAATGCAGATAAAGACAGCCAGTGTAGCAGCAGTCTCTGCATCAGTAGGCCTCAACATACACAAGGGGAAAACCAAGGTCCTCAAATATAACATGGAGAACAGCAATCCAATCACTCTTGATGGCGAAACTCTGAAAGATCAAGAATCCTTCACATACCTGGAAAGCATCATCGATGAACAAGAAGGTTCAGATGCAGACGTAAAGGCGAGGATTGGCAAAGCAAGGTCAGCATTCCTACAGTTGAACAAAATATGGAAATCAAAACAACTTTCAACCAATATCAAAGTCAGAATCTTCAATACCAACGTCTAGGCGGTTCTACTGTACGGAACTAAAACTTGGAGAACTACAACAACCATCATCAAGAAGGTACAAGTATTTATAAATAGCTCTCTATGCAAGATACTCAACATCCATTGGTCGGTTACCATCAGAAACAACCTTCTCTAGGAGAGAACAAACCAGCTTCCAGCTGAAAAAAAAATTAGGAAAAGACGATGGAAATGGATAGGACATACATTACGCAAATCATCAAACTGCAGCACGAGGCAATTACTAACTTGGAATCCTGAAGGGAAGCTGAAAAGAGGAAGGCCAAAGAACACATTACGTCGGGAAATCGAAGCAAATATTTAAAAGGATGAATAATGACTGGAAGGAGTTGGAAAGGATTTCCCAGGAGAGGGTTGGATGGAGAATGCGCGTGAGCGGCCTATGCTCCTTCGTGAGGAGTAACAGGCGTAAGTAGTAGTAGTATCGGGTTGCCTACTTCAATGTCCCACTCAGGGTGTTTGGAAATGGTGTGTGGCTGTAGAGTAGCTGAAGGCCAGCTTGACTACCCCTTAAAGTGTTCCACCCATAGTTCTAAACGTCTGGACTGAGAGCAGATAAGAATTTCGTCTGTTTCCGAAAAAGTCTCACACTTGACTTATTGGTTCCAGTTTCTTTTATTAGTCTGTATAGCTGTCTTGCGTTACCTACAGCCTCCTCCTTTTCTATCTCTTGCTTTCGTTGCCCACCACTACCCACGGTCGTTCCTTAGACTTTTGCTTAACATAGGTCTGATTTGTCTTCGCTCTTCATCGTGTTCAGAGCCTGATGGGATGAGTTTGCGAGAATCCATCAGTGCTCTAGACTTAGAAGAAATCCACTGTTTTTTCGTGACCCTTGGGTTTAAATCACTAACAGATGTCACTGCTGTTTCCACAGCTGCTTGTATATCTTTCCAAGCAACATCTTGGTCAACCTCGTTTTCAGAACTGCCTAAGTGTGACCTCAGTTGTTCCTAGAACCTACTTTTGGTTTTCTCATCACTCAATTCAATCATAATGGGTTTTTTAAATGTGGCTTTTCTGTGTCCAGTAAGGCTCAAGCGAATGCATGCTCTTATTAGAGAACGGTCAGTTTCTCAACATGTATTCCAGAAAGAGCGGCGGTCTTTTACCGATGACTGATGGCAATATGGTCTATTTAAGTCTACCATCGGTTTGGTGCAGGGGGTTTCTCATTATACTTAAAATTAGTGATCGTAAGAAACTGAACCAGACTACCAAGATACGCACCTAAATATCTTACTATTTGGTTTAAGCTACCTACTTGGGCATGAAAGTCACCTAAAACGAGTACTATGTCTGAGCGTTTAGCTTTTTGAAGGAGTTCAGAAAGCTTTCTGTAAAATTCATCTTTCACTTCACCCGGGCTGCAGTCACTTGGGGCGTTGGCAGAAATGACGCAAAGGCATTGACGTATATCCCTATCCTTCCGAGTTCTTACGGAGCCGTTCGTCCAAACAGCACATGGGCGACTGTTAACATTGATCCATTCTAGAAGTATTTCTTCTGCCCTCATACCTAGTGCTATACCTACACTCACCAGTCCACGAGAACTTTCCGTCGAGTCGCCAGATAAACGGAGGGTGTATCTCGTTGGCTCCCTGTTTTAACTAGGTGAAGTTATGTGTGTGACCACACTAGGATCCTGTATGTGTGTTTCGGAGACACAACATACATCAATGATACGAGATTCTATGATCTTAGCTGAGGAGACCTGGTGGCCGATTCGACATAAAGTACGTACGTTGAAGACTTTAATGTGTAGTTTTGAGCGAGGTTTCAGTAGACTTAGGACGGTACTTCGCGCAATAGAATCGTTGGCCATGGTGACACCTGAAGAGGAAGTTTATAGTTGATAGTCGAGATAAGAGGGATAGTAGGAATTGAGGAGGGAAATTAATTATGAATACGGTGATCTTGAGTCCTGTTAGAGATATGAGGGTGGTTATCACTTCCCGGTTGCTCACACCGTGGAAAGACTCTTTTCGAGGTATCTGAAAATGAACTTGGGTTAGAGTTGATCTTAGTGACTAGAAGACGTGATTACGGTGCCCAAAGGACAACTGTTTAAGGCCGGTCACATACGACCATTTTGTGAGTAATTTTTGTCCTAGCTCCGTACTCGTTGAGACCTTAGCGTCGGAGACGGATATTCGTGAGATAAGACGAGGTATACATCTCTTCCTTTGTGGGAAAGTAGCACCGTCATCACTCTGGTTGTCTGAGAGAAACAACTTACTGCCGTTACACCTCTACAGTCAGCAGTACGACTTCGCCCTCGGACCTTGGATTTGCTGCCTTTAGTCTTGCTGTCCCTCAACCGATCTGCTTGGCATGTTAGGATCTTAAGGAACGATTGTTCCAGCCAGTATAAACTGATTGGTCCATCGCGACAAAGTCTACCAAGAGACAGTAAAGATTTTTAAAAATGATATATTATACTTCTGGGACTTTTAATTTGGAGTTTTGATTCTCGCTTCATAACTGATATCAGTTCATGATGAATACTCTTACTCCCATTAGTAATTCTTAACCCTGTTTCGATAGACTCCTCTTTACGCTGAGGTCGTTTACACGTATACTATTGGCTCAGTGGTATAGCTCTTCTGTATTTTAATTTTTTGGATATCTTCGTTCATAATGATGGCTAATTTGCCACATCACTAATATTTCAGTGTTATCTGTATAACTTATAGGTTAATATAGCGCCTAGCTATAGTTAGACAATTTCAGGAAGTATTTCACTCAATCTTTCCTCTAAATGACCCAATGGAGATACATAGTCAGTTTATTCTGAGAAGGAGGTACACTATAATATACAAACTCATGTGTGACTCTATTAGTATTTTTTATTCTCTACTAACCGTCACACAACGTAACACAATTCACTAATTTACTTGCGATTACTATTTCATTTATTCACTTTATTTTGAGATGCCGTCGTCTGAAAATAACTATCCAGGAGCTGCTAGTCTAATTCAGGATATTGGAAGTTCGTTGTGATTGGTGGCCCAACGATCTTTTGTAGAAAAAATGGCGATTATTGTACGAGGAGGTCGTATGTTTATTGGATTTCTTCGAATAATTGACCAGTTCGGTAAGATATCATATCCAATTTATATATCGGTAGGCAATGTCGTCCTTCATAATGCTGTGGAACGTATACATGTGGCGAAAAAATTCTGTGACGTTCCCCAGGGAATACTTTTAATTAGAGGTGAAAATATTACAATTATCGGGGAACTGGTAAGACAGTAAACTTTTTAATATATATATATATATATATATATATATATATATATATATATATATATATATATATATATATATAGTTCAACATAATAAGGTTCAACTTAGATAAGTAAACTTTGAAATAATAATCAGAAAACATTGTCGAAATTACGTAATAAGAAGTGTACAAATAATTAGATAGTTAAGAATATAAACAGATGTTCGTCGTCCTGTAATCGCATTTCTAGTTCAGATGGACTTTCCGATAAATCCAGTGATAACCACTGGCCAGAGCTGATCAAAAACATTATTTCCCAACTTACTCCGCATAAACGAAAATCTTAATTTGGTAATAGTAACTTTTTGTTGGAATAAGCCTAAATTAATAGGTATAAAAAGTCATCCTCATCCGAATCTCATTCAACAGTTTCTACTGGTCTGTTTGTTAATAATAATAATATATGCGGTATCAAAAGATGTTTGTTGAAACTTATCATAATCACTCAAAACAAAGAACCACAGTAACATCTGCCATTGATTTATGCAAATAGAACTTTCCATAGGTCGATCTCCCACGCATTTATGTAACTGTTTTGATGAAGCCATGTAATTAGTTTGGCTAGCTTAAAATGTCGCAGGAATGTCCAGTCACCTGAACATAAACATAGGTAAGAACAGTTACATGCTGTTATTAGTGACGCATACTCCAAGACTGGTCTATGTTAGTGCCTTGGTTAAATAAATTGTGTTGTGGTCTAGATCAGTGGTTAGTAGTTTCAACTCGGATGTCAAAAGCCTGCTTGGATCCCGATCTGCTTAACATTCTGAATGAAATATTTCATTTTATCTTACCCACTTTGTTTATATGTGACAGTAGCACAAAGCCAATTACTACTAAACTATCAGCAAGGTGAGCGTCACTGACAAAGTGAACTCTTATGTAGTATGTTCCAAGCTGCAATTTAAGTGAGGGCTACGAGTACAACCCAGTTGCCCAAGTTAAGAACTCAAACGATTTGCCCAACAGACAGTAAGGAATTCATTTGCACATTTGTTAATGAAGTGCATTTTTCTCCCTCATTTCTTCCTCCTTTACAGAATCCGGAAATAAACATCGACGAGAGGCTAGAAAGAGTTTCAGAAGAAGAGATTTATAAGCTCCAGCAAGAACAGACAGCCTCGCGCAAAGAACTAGCCAAGAAGCGAGCTGAACTATTCGCGATACGTGGATTAGGTTTTCCAGACTTCTTAGATATAATTGACGACACATAGTCGTTGCACATTTTCTACCATGCTCATTAAGTTGTCGCAAGTTGCATAGTTTGTGTCAGTAATTGATAATAAAACATTGCTTAAATCAATTATACATATGCTTATGAATAATATCCATGTTTATGCAGAAATTTGTTATACGAAAAAAATATCTTTCAAATAAATTAGTACAGTAGTTTTTGTGACAAAATGACTCCAAGTAGTGATATTACATCAGTTTAGGATACTTGCAATAAATTAAATGTCTTTGGAATTGGCAAAAATATTGCTTACAAAAGAAATGATTATATCGAATTCCCACTTTGGCTAAATAAACTTGTTCCGTACGGTTCATGTTTACAAAGGTGAATGTTTGTCGAAACAACGGTACTTATTACTTTACTATGGTTAAAATCTAATTACATTATCTTTTATCAGTAGCCCAACGATGCCCTCTTTGTGGTGCGCCAATAAGCACAACAAACTAGATGTATTCTTACTGCTTTCAAGATGGTCACTTGGTATACATATATGGGGTTCGACTAAGGATTTTCGCGCGTCATTGCTCTGCATTAGTTGTGCATAGTGCACTCATCATTGAACGTCAAGTTTCAGTAAAGTATCTTCATCGTGAGTGGATTCTGTTTGAATCTGGCCACGACCCATACATTCTTTTAACGGCATACATTGCTTTAAAGACGAATAAATGTAGACACTAAGAGACTGTTGTGTTTTTAATCATCGCTAAGTAGAAAATTTATTAGCACGTTGGTTTGGTAAGTTGCATATTTTAAGATCTTAATATATAACACAGATACATGTATAAAAAGTACATTAAATTCAGTCACAATTTCCTGCAAAGCTTAAAAACAATAGATCTGAAGCCGCAGGAAAAAATTGGGAAATCAATTACAGCAAAGATGTAATCAGATCCCAACCCCTGTAAGATTTGCATCCAATTGTTGAAGATTCGGTAGAGCTAATAGTATTTTTCGTCGGTAATTAGAATCATGTTTTGTACGGTCTGTGCTTAGAAAATAGATTGGATTACGCTCCATATACAAAGTTCGCAGCTTTTTTAATACACTTAACTTTTCTAGCTGCTCCCAATCAGATATCTTATTGTCATTGCACCAAAATTCTTCTAGATTTTCCAAATTCGACATGTTTTGAATCTGTGATATGAAGTTGTACGCCAGGTCTAAAATTTGTAACTTTGATAATGTTTCAAGGCCTTCAATTTCTGTTATCCCGTTCTCGCTCAGATATAGTTGCTCCAGATTAACAAGACTGGTTAATCCATCTATTTTGGTGAGTCTGTTACCCTATATAATTAATTAAATGGAAGATGAAGACAAAAAACGTTAGTAGAGTTTGAGAAGGCTATAGTTAATCTGAAACGAGGAAGGGCAGCTGGTCCAGATGGATTGGCTCCAGAGGTCTTTAAGGATGGTGGTCCAATTTTAGCGATTAGGTTGACTAATATTTTAGCTAAGATCTGGGAGTTAGACGTTATCCCATCTGACTGGTCGCAATCACTTATCGTCCCAATATATAAGAAAGGGTCAAAATCATCCTGTGACAACCACAGAGGGATTAGTTTAACAAATATAGTATCTAAAATACTGGCCTCGATAATTATCAAACGCCTAACTAAGACTCGTGAACTGCAAACACGAGAGAACCAAGCTGGCTTTAGACCTGGTCGTGGCTGCATCGACCACATATTCACCATTCGTCAGGTTCTAGAACACAGGCATACCTATCGGCGTCCGACGATGGTGGTCTTTCTTGACTTAAAAGCAGCATTTGACTCTGTAGACCGCGAGATTCTGTGGCAGTGTCTGTCATTGAAAGGCGTACCTCAGAAGTACATAAACCTTGTGAAGGCTCTTTACTCGAACACTACTAGTCGAGTCAGGGCTTATGGCGAACTGTCATCTACTTTTGCAACCTCAAGTGGTGTCCGTCAAGGCTGCCCACTTTTTCCATTTTTGTTTAACTTCATCATAGACCTATTGATGGAAATAACACTCTCGTCGACTGAATTCTCGGGTATTGATCTCCTTCCAGGAGGTCCACTTATCGACTTAGAATATGCAGATGACATAGTCCTGTTTGGTGAAGACGCTGACAAAATGCAGAGTCTTCTGGTAGCACTAAGCAACAATGCCAGAATGTTTGGGATGCGCTTCTCTCCCTCTAAATGCAAGTTGTTGCTTCAGGACTGGTCTGCGTCAACACCTGAACTAAGGATAGGGAGTGAAGTAGTCGAAGCGTTGACAACTTCACTTATCTTGGAAGTCTGATCAGCCCTAATGGGTTGGTGTCTGACGAAATCTCAGCACGGATTCGTAAAGCTCGTTTGGCTTTTGCCAACTTACGTCACCTTTGGCGGAGGCGAGATATCCGTCTATCAATAAAAGGACGAGTATACTGCGCGGAAGTCCGTTCTGTTTTAATTTACGGCAGCGAAACATGGCCATTAAGAGTAGAAGACACTCGTAAGCTACTAGTATTTGACCACAGATGCCTTAGAAATATTGCTGGCATCTGCTGGGATCACCGGGTAAGTAATAGTGAGGTTAGACGCAGGGTATTAGGGAATGATGGTAAATCAGTTGATGAGGTTGTTAATCTTCATCGACTGAGATGGTTGGGCCACGTGTTACGTATGCCTGAACACCGATTACCACGACGTGCAATGCTAACCGGTGTTGGAGATGGTTGGAAGAAAGTTAGGGGCGGCCAAACCAAAACGTGGCATCAGTGCTTGAAGTCACTAACTTCTAGTCTGAGCCATGTTGGTAGATGCAGACTACTTGGTTGGGGTCCGCGTGACTTTCGTAACCAATGGTTGGAGACTCTTGGTGACATGGCTCAGAATCGATCACAATGGCGTCGGTGTATACACTCTCTGTCTTCCCTTAAACTAAGAGATTAAAATCGCTTCATGTCTTTCTTTCTACGAACTAATTCTTTCTTCCTATACTATATCCTTATTGCAATCTTTCTTTTATATATTACCACTTCTGAATTAACCACTTATATGAATCCGGTGTCCATCTTGTTGTGTTAATGAGGTAAGGCAACTTGGACCGATGCATACATGTGCCTCGTCCTACTTTGTAGTTGACTGACTGATCATAACAACTAAAGGGATACTTAGTGAATCTTGTAATACTGCTTCCTTGTGACATTATTTTGTAGTAACTGAAGCTTTGCCTTCAGTCAACTAGAACAAGTTTGAGAATTACAAGTTCAGTATACATAACCTAAATTGTTTTATACTCATGGATGCTCGATTATTGTTTGCTTGTGTTGTGATAAGGGTTTCCTTAAAAATGGACCTAACTATACAGCTACCATTAATCATGTTTTGGAAAAACCAGACAAATTGTTTAACTTCGAGTGAAAGCTATTACTCTTACATTTCCAATGATCAAGTCGGACGGTACTATTTAGGGTGGCTGTCTCTTAATTCCTACTATCTCTCGAAGGCTGGACAGAACTTCCATTAGTGGCGACTACAACCGACATGAGTTTAACAACAACGGGCCAGATTTCTAGGGGTCCTGTTTATTTATGGAAAATACCTTAACAAATATAGTACCTAAAATACTAGCCTCGATAATTATCAAACGCCTAACTAAGACTCGTGAACTGCAAACACGAGAGAACCAAGCTGGCTTCAGACCTGGTCTGGGCTGCATCGACCACATATTCACCATTCGTCAATAATACCTCACTCTCGGACCCTAGATTTGCTGCTTTTTTGCTAACCTGTTTAAAAGTCTTCAGTTTCATTTGTATTTGTGACTTTATCTATTTCGCGCCTACCAGTAAAATTGTTTCTAAAGTTTGTATAAGCTATACCTCAAGTCCAAAATATATCTTGGTGTATGTAATATGAGAAAATATACTCACCTGAATGCTCAGAATGGTTAGATTAGTCAAGTTATCCAAGTTTTCCATTGTTGGTATTTTGTTTTTACCACAATAAAGTTCAGTCAATTTTTTCAATCCATCCAAATTTTCTAACTTCCCTATTTTGTTTGAACCAAGTTCCAACAATTCTAGGTCTTGCAAGTTGCTCAGATTCTCTATTTTCGAGATATGATTGTTTACGAAATACAGTTTCCGGAGATTACTTAGATTCTCCAAGTTTTCGATACGTCTTATCCGATTAAAGCTCAAATCAAGATTAGTCAGCTTTGTGAGGCACTCTAAATTTTCAATCTGGAAATAAGATACATAGAAGCGTTACAAGAATTTTCATAGTAAGGCTTATAGTAGCGTTACATGATTGTATTATGGAATATATATTTGACTTGTAACAGTTTAAATCGCGATTAGCCCCCAAATGCCCTGGTATGGCCGAGAGTGGAGTGGGCCCGCCCTCCCTCTCGAAATGCTCTCACACGGCCACGCGTATACAGCTTCTGTCAGGGATGTCCTACTCACTGCCTTCTCGTGGCGGGGGTGTTGTTTACGAAATTGAGAGAACGAAAAGCAAATATCCGGCGCTTTAACCGGATTCCAAACCAATGAAGCACATGGGCTTCAGTATCCTGCGGGAACAAATGGCGTATGAACCAATCGTTGGTCACCGGCTACCATGGGACTGCATCTCCTCACGATGCTCCACTGCCTTGTGGGTCAGACCTTTAGGTCAAAGGCTCGGGTGTGGCCCCCTAAGAAAACCACCTGCTTCGGTTTGGGTACCCGGGAAGTATCACAACCCTCACACAAATCGAATGATTTATATGGCGCATATATATTTGGTGCCTCCTTGTGCCAATGTTTATGTGTTTAAATAAGTAAATAAAATCGCGATTAAGTCTGAGTTCATTTTATTCGTTTATGATGAAAAACTTTGTAAACATAATGGTGAGAGTGAAGGCAATCAAATAATAGTAAGCATGATGGTTATGATAATACTGAGGACACTGGTGGAAAAAGAACGAGTACGTTGAATACATTCGTCATAAACAACGAAACATTTGCATCACCCGATAATTAACCCTTAATTTTTATTGTCTTGTAGACCTTACCAGTCAATAAATTTTTGTTTAACCACTTGAAGTTTGACATGATCAGCTTCGACTTTAACTCACCTCGTATCAATGTGCGCAGCGGCCAAGGATACGTAAAATGCTGCAAGCAACCTATTTGTTAAATGTTTACGAGACCTAGCCGATAAGTGCATT